TCCACTGGCACATGTGACATGTCCCTAACATGTCCCTAACAAGCACTACGAAAAACCCAGCAATCCAATGGGCAATCTCAAGGCGAGCCTAACTAGGGTAGGTGCAGTACCGGCATGATAGTAGTAGGGCAGTAGTAGAGTACACAGGGGAAGCACGGCCGCTACGTACCACGTACGTTGGTGAAGGGTCTGTTTTCGGAGCCCCGGAGGGGCGACGACTCCTGCGGACGCGCCTCCCAGGCGCGTCCGCAGGAGCTTTCTTCGACCGCGCGGGGCTCCTAGATGCCATTTTCCAGCGTTCGACGCCTCGACAGTGTGCGAAACGACCATAGGGCTGGCGCGCGCCATAGGAACTATTAATTATTAATCTGCGGTCGCCCGGCGGGAGGTCCTCATAGAGGTCCTCCGTCCACCGCGCGCAGGGGTCACAACGGACGTCCAACGGACGTCCAACGGACGTGGGAAACTTGAAGTTCGTTTCAATTTTTTGTGGGAAAATGACTAGAGGTGGGAGGTCACCACTACAGCCGACACCGTAATATTCGACAATCCCAAGTCCCTCGAGCTGACCCAGCTCTAGGTCACGAGCAACTACCCGGTGAATGGCGCTCAGGCTGCCGAAGGTGGTTGCTCATTATACATCATGATTATAGTAACCTCGCTGACAGTTTGTCTGTGCGGTGCCGTGCCCGAGTCTACGGGAGTAGCCTCCTTCTTAACTCAGTCCTAGCACCCACTTAGACTGCCCTTGACCTCTTCTTCATTAAGTCGCGTTCCGCCCTCGCCTCGCTCCGCGCTCAGGCTCAGGCTCACAGTATCTGCGCTGCTCGGATATGAGATTCGGCGTGGGAGTAACGCGTTATCATTCGACAAGTCCTTCATTTGTCGGGTCTGATGCCACTCTGTCTCGCTGATGAATTTGGATCCCTAAATCTATCAGTTGAAGATCGACAAATGAAGGCTGACGGACCGAAAGCACTCGCTCGTGCCCGGGCGGCACACATTCTGTCGCGGAAGTTCGCAAATCGAGACCGAGTCAAGGCCAAGCTCTTGGAAAGCCAAGAAATGGCGCGGACGAGAGCAAGGGCGGGTCGAGAGGCAACGAGACGCCGTTGGAAAATTAGAACGCAGCACTCTCCATTTCTTGTAGATTGGTCGCAGAGAATGAGCG